ATCAAAGTTTTTTTTAATATCAAGCACTAAGAATAGTCGAGCGTTGCTGTCCTACCAACAGCTCTTGTTTTAACAAAATAATTTGTTCACTTAATAAATAATATTAAATCAGTCAAAATAAAATAAATATTTACAAGCTCTCAAAGAAAATCGTCTAGCCTGTTTGTTATGTTTACATGTATAATATGACGTGGACATTGATGATGTCATTTGCAATATGAATTATGACGTCACTTCATTCAGTTGGTGATGAACTATTCCCTATCTTATTTATTCCTAATCGAAATCGAAATAATAAATAAATAAATGAATATCACATCTTGATTCAAGACTTGTAAGGGTATGAGATAAAATTGTAGAATTCACATGCTTATAAAAATGAGAATATTAAATAAGCAATTGAAAAATGTGTGATATCTGAGGTTACTGACCTGATATCAAAAATAATTATCAGGCAAGTGTTATCGGGTGATTACCATAGCAGTTGCATGATAAATGGTCTTACACTCTAGTTTTCCACGTTTCAATTAAAATTACTAAATGTTTATCGCTCAGTTTTAAATATGTTTACTTTGTTACAGTGTGTAAGTCAATTTAATTCATTTTTTAACAAAACAAACATTTAATGATTTGGTATTTTTCTTGATATTATCATCCGGTATCTTCGATTTTTTGCATGCATTATTATTTTAACATTATAAATCATAATATCAACAGGGTTATAGAATTTAGCAAGATTTTCTACTTGCAGACTTTCGCAAGTGATCAAATGTTTTACTGGCAATATGGGAACTGGCATTTCCATGACCACGTATCTTATTATTATTATTATTATTATTATAATACACAATGACAACGTATTTTGAAAATATGGTATGACAAATGATAATAAGCTTGAATGTCTTTTGAATATCAGAAACATCTTTATTACTGATTAACACAGATGTCTTCTTTTAACGAAAAAAAAACATTTCAACACATTAATTTATAAATGATAGACCATTGTTTAGGGATCAGATTAGATATACCAGAGGAACACCCACTGGTGACAATGTACAGTTATAAACTTGTTTATGTAATGTAATTTCTTAGGACTTTCATTAATTTTAGCATATTTTGTACTTGATTACACCAACAGCCTGAAAACTCATAGGTACTGATCTACTTAAAATAAATAAATATTTCAGCTTAAAAATAAACATTTTACAGAGGAGAGCTACACATTTACATTGGACCCTGATAAAACATCTTGGATGCTCTTACCAATATAAATAGTCCATCAAAATATAGTCACAGAAAAATAAATAGACCAACCAAAAATTGATTTTTATGGTAAACGTCATCAATAAGTGCATCTGGCACAGTAAACGTCATCAGTTTCTGCAGCGTGCAGTTGCCAAGCATCATCATCTCAGATGATAACAATTATGTAAACGTCCAAAATGAACAGTGACTTGCAAATAAATGCCAGCTAGAGTAATTTTTACTGGCATTATTAGATTTTAACTGGCATTTTGCCAGTATGCCAGCTTAAATTTGAACCCTGATCAAGAAAAAATACCAAAAAAACATCAACTTTGAAAAATATCAGTCCTATCCGGTATCTTCTTTCTGCCACGGATAGTACTTTTACTGTGAGTGCAAAGTATTTTGCCAAAAAAAAATAATTTTTATTTGTGGGTCAAATTTAATGATTTTTTGTATGTATTATTATTTTAACATTATAAATCATAATATCAAGAAAAAATTACCAAAAGAACCACTATCTTTGAAAAATATCAGTCCTATCCAGTATTTTAAGTCACAGTAAGTCATACCGCATCTTCTGTCCCTGTCCAAATTTCGTTTCTGCACAATTTCTCTGCAACTACATGTACTGGCCGGAATTCAGTGAAACATTATGGGAACCATAAATACCAATAGGAGATGTGCCTATCATCAGCAAGCTTTCCAGTCAGACTCTTCAACACAGAGTTATGGCCCTCTCTTAGTTATGCAGTATGTCAGTATGGGAACCTTCAATACCAATAGGAGATGAGCATATCGTCATCCTGATCTGGTCAGACCCTTTAACAAGAGTTATGGCCCTTGATTAGTTATTTAGTATGCACATAGAGCAACAATCCTTTCTGTGCTATTTCTCTGCAACTACTAGCTGGAATTTAACCAAACTTTATGGAAACAATTGATACCAATAGGAGATGTGGTAGTCTTGTTCCAGTCAGACCCTTCAACACAGAGTTATGGCCCTTGATTAGTTATGCATTATGCATATAGAGCAACAATCATTTCCACGCTATTTCTCCGCATTTACTGGCTGGAATTCAATTAAACTTTATTGGAACAATCAATACAAAGTCAGGGCCCTTGATCTACCAAACCTTCGGCTGATATTTTGCCGCTGTCCCCCACCAAAAAAAGTATGTTTTTTCTCCTATAACAGAGGTAAAAATTCCCTCTCAAAACATATAAAATTGACTTGAAAAAATCTAAACGTTATCCCAAATTGGACTGAGGGCCCTGCAAGGGCAGATGCACATACTGTTGCCTTGTTCCAGTTAGACCCTTCAAGACTGAGTTATGGCCCTTTGTTAGTTGTGCATTATGCATATAGAGCAATGTTGCTATTTCTTTGCAACTGCTAGATCGATTTCAACAAGAACCATCAATACGAAAAGGAAATTTGCATGCCATGATAAATATATAAAAAAAAATCTTTTGTCTCCAGTTGTTGTGTTAGTAATAACCAGTACTTGGCGGGTGATATAAATTCAACAAATTTGCTTGTTATACTTGCAGCAGGGGCGGGAATATTAAATATCCGTTTTGCCCAGGTTGTCGTACAGCCTGTACGGACAAAAGGAAATTTTCAAGAATTTACTACATGAATATCATGCCGACAAGTGAAGAAAAGCTGCAGATAAAAACGAAACAAATAAGTCAAAATCAGATTGTGCCAGCCTCGAATTGGCTATAAATTTGTAAGTAACGATTTGATTGACTTGTCTTCATACTTTAGCACAACAATCCTTAGGAAAAGACATAAAAGAATATGCTTGACCTTAATTTGACCATGACACTAAAAGGTCAAATAAGTGCAAGCTACAATTGGCCACATCTTTCGTATTTATTTATGGCTTTGATTTATACCTGGACAAAATAACATTTTTGACAAAAACCCTTGATGAGTTATTCAAATATGACCTTTACTACTAGGGTGAAACTCTTGAAATTTGTTTAAAATTTATTTATTTACAAAGACAAAAGAACACATATGACAAAAATGACATGTTGAATTATTCTGAGATGATTTTGACCTGGCATGAATTGACCTTGACTGTGAAGTTCAAATTATTCAAATTTGCTTAAATTGTCATATAACCTTGTTATTTCTTTACGGATTTGGTTTATACTCTGACAAACGAACACATGAACACATGATATGGTAAAACCAACATATTGAATTATTCTAATATGACTTTGACCTTTAATTTACCTTGTTCCTCAAGGTCAAATATTATAAATTTGCTGGTCAAATATTATAAATTTGCTGAAAAAGGGTCATAATTTCATTATTAATTAATAGATTTGATTCATTCTTGGAAAGAGAACATTTATGACAAAACTGACATGATGATTAATTCAAATGTGACCTTGACCTTTGAAAGACCTTGACGGTCAATGTCAAATAAGAAATTTGAGGTACCGTTATATTTTGTACAAGAAATAATTTATTCTTGGAATATTCTTTACCACTTTATTCCTTCTCAATGTGCTTGACTTTAGAAATAAGAAAAAGTTTAGCATAACGCCAGCTAGATGGTGGCTTTTTAGCTCGACTTTTCTATGAAAAGGGGAGCTATCCTACTCGCCCCGGCGTCGGCGTCGGCGTCGGCGTTGGCGTCACACCTTGGTTAAGTTTTTCGTACCCCACTTTATTTCAGAAGTATTACAAGTATGGCTTTGAAACTTACCATACTTGTTCACCATCATAACTCCATCTACAGACAAGAGTACATAACTCTGTCAAGGTTTTTGACAGAATTATGGCCCTTTTTTGACTTAGAAAGTGTATTGAGCTTGGTTAAGTTTTTTGTACCACCTCACTTTATTTCAAAACCATTGGAGGTATTGCTTTGAAACTGACCATACTTGTTTACCATCACGACCTTCATCAACAGACAAGAGGACATAACTCTGTCAAGGTTTTTGACAGAATTATGCCCCTTTTTGACTTAGAAAATACATTGAATATGGGTAAAATCCACTTATTGCCTTAACCCTTTGAGATATTGCTTTGAAACTTTTAATGCTATTTCACATCATTACCCCCATCTGTACGCAAGAGAAGGTAACTCTGTCAAGGATTTGTTTTAAAAATTAAGGCCTTTTATCGACTTAGAATCTTGGTTAAGTTTTTAGTACCAGTCCACTTTTTGACTGAACTGTTTGAGATATTAATTTGAAAGTTGGAATACTTGTTTACAATCATGATTCCCAAACATGTCCAGGAGAAGGTAATTCTGTCAAAGATTTTATTTGAATTATGGCCCTTAACTGTCAATGTTTTGTATTATAGGCAAGCACTAAAAAAGTCGAGCGCGCTGTCTTACGGACAGCTCTTGTGTTATGCTCCCATTTAGAAATACCTTGCATGTATAATACTATACAGAACTGAGAAATATGGAGCCTACATTCTGGGGATTGTCAATTCTTTAATATACTTGCAAAGAAAATTACCAAATTTAAGAATATGTTAAATTGTGAAAGTCTTAATTATGATGCAACATTACTGGGAGTCATTTTGTTCAAAAATGTTACAAACTTTGAGTGACAAATATGTCATTCCATTGTCAAACTGTACAGAATTGTTCACATAAGTATATTTAGCAAAGAATTAAACTATTAACAAAAGTAAAGAATAATGAATTACTATTTTCCTCAGGTTGGTAATCAAAATTACAAAATAGTATTATCTGTTTTTCTTGTTTTTATTGCAGGTTAATTCTATGACTTGGATGGAACATCATTTTGACTAAAGTAATAAATTTGGACTTAACCAGTTAAGACTAGTAATACAGCTTGTAAACAGGAGTGGTAGTCAAGAAATGGAGTCGAACAAGTCCGATTGTCTCGACACGTCAGGTCTCAAGTGGTTTAATGGTGCAAGCAACATTCCTTTACATATATGGTATATTGACTTTGCTACTTGCTCTTCCGAAATGAAAAACCCGGTTATTAAAATTGGGGAATGTCAGCTGGCTGCTGGGCAGAAACAATGTCTGCAGTTCTGTATTTAAATTTTCTACATTTCTTATGGGATTTCAACCAAATCTTCACAGAACTTTCAATTGGTATGATGTACCAAGTCAGGGTTTTGTGATTTAATCACTTTTGCCACAGTATGGACCAGAATGTTAATATATGAAAGATATACTCTACTTTGCAAAGCCATAGATTTCTATACATATTTAATTTATATTACTACTTTATTGTGTGCAACACCTACATTTCTCTATGTTATAAGCACTTATTTGGTGTGAGCATTTTTAGCTTGACTATACGAAGTATATGGAGAGCTGTCCTATTCACCCCGGCGTCGGCGTCTGCGTCCAGATTTCAGATTAATGTTTGGGTGCAGTAAAATATTTTTTATGCTCCCTGAAGGGAGAGCATATAGTCGCCACCTTGTCCGTCCGTCTGTCCTTCCTTCCGTTCTCTTTTTGTGTCGCACGTAGCTCAAAAAGTAATTTACCTAGAGTCATGAAACCTTACAGGAATGTTGATCAGCATGTGGAGTTGTGCACCTGGGTATTTTCCTGTTGATATTTGTGGATTTATTCAGTATTTGTAGTTCTTGCCCTTTACTTAATAAAAGATTTTTAGTTTTCAACTTGGGCACATGTAGCCCAAAAAAAAAAATTTGACCTAGAGACATTAGATTGACACATCAGTGGAGTGTGGGGACACATTTCTAATTTTTGGCTTATTTTTTACCCAATATTCGGACATATTTTCAATTGAAAACAGTATATTATTTTCCCAATCCACAGGAAAAATTCCCAATTGAAAGTTACAAAATAAAAATATTGAATAACAAATTCTAAAATCTTTGAAAATAAGGGCTTCTTCACTGTTATGGTGCTTAAATGTTTGAAGATGCCATCCTAGATGGTGATTCTTTGCTTTCATTTTATCATTATAACATTTTCCCCCAATTTTTAACAAATCATCACTGAAATTCCTAATTCCAAGGGTATGGGTCATGTTCCCAAAATCATGGAAAAAAAACCTGTTTACTTACATACAAGACTGACCTCTTATAAGTCAGGATCCAAATTTTTCTTTGCATTGGCATTAACTTCCATTATCAGCTTGTAAAACCAAGTCAACTGACCAGGAATCAAAACTGGAGCATATCATGTGAAAAACATCTTGAATTATATTTTGTGAAATACCTCAAGGGTGTTTCAAGGTTAAATAATGATAATTTATTTAAAATTTTTCAGTATGTTTACACTAGACTACTGGCAGTTGGCAAATAATGATTGGATATGGATTGTTGTTGTTGCTTTTATTATTGCATTCATTCTTGCCTTTGGTATCGGCGCCAATGATGTCGCAAACTCATTTGGATCATCAGTTGGGGCCAAGGTCTTGACATTGAAACAGGCATGCATACTCGGAACTATATTCGAAATTCTAGGTGCAGTTTTAATAGGTAAGAATTTTCTAATTTCATTTTGTATAAGAATGACATCTTGAGAAAATTTGATGTCTGACTGAATTAACTGTTACTATAAAAAATAATTGAGAGTCCATGTCGAGTTATATATGTAGTTTAAGTTTAATGGGGGTTGATTTTATAGTCTATAAAAAACAAAGTGTTTTACTAAAACTGATCATGTCCAGTAAATCGAGGCAATCCAATTGAAAGAAGTGTTGCTCACCCTCCCCCACACACCTGCATGTAACACCTGTATGCAAAGTTCCAATTGGTTGCCTTTGTTTTTATTGGAGTTCTTTTGTCATTGTACGATGGCAATTGTAAAATTTACACTTAATTCATTCCAAACACACTGTTGTTTGTAAGGAACTGATAAAAATGTATTTGGTGGTTTTTTGACAATTTAACTTTGGAGAAAAACCCATCACCAAGAACTATTTGGTAGTTTTGTGACAAAACCTTGGAAAAAACATCACCAAGAACAAAGAACTTTAAAGAGAAAATCTGGCTCCTTTAAATTCTCTCTTGTTTCTAATGGATTTTCAGTCACATTAAAACTAAATGTCCTATGCGACTTTCAAGCTTTACTTTTGGAGGAAGACCTCTTACACTTTAATCCAGTATAAAAACGAAACAAAATCTAGGAATATGACCATAGTTATCTATAGTAGTTGTCAAGGTCTACATATATACAGCGGTAGATGTTGATGTTTGCATTGTAGACATTTAGATGTCTATTGTTACCTCTTAAATATCTATTTATAGTCTCATCCCACTTTTTGTGCCCCCACTTTTAGATTTACCCTTGTCCGTCCTTTTAGATTTACCCTCGTCTATTTGTCTGTCCGTTCTCATTTTGTGAGGCACGTAGCTCAACAAGTATTTGACTAGAGTCACAAATGTTGATCAGCGTGTGTAGTTGTGCACCTGGGGTTTTGCTTGTGGATTTATTCTGTTATGTTAGAGTTTTTGCCCTTGACTTAGTAAAAATTTGCAATTTCCAACTTGTGTCGCATGAAACTCAAAAAGGATTTGAATGAGAGTCATGAAACTTTTCAGGAATATTGATCAGAATGTGAAGTTGTGCACCTGGGTACTTTCATGTGGATTTATTTAGTATTTTTAGAGTTATTGCCCTTAATTTAGAAAAAAATTGCAATTTTCAACTTGTGTCATACATAACTGAAAAAGTATTTGACCTAGAGTCATGAAACCTTACACAAATGTTGCTTAACATGTGAGGTTGTGCACCTGGGGTTTTACTTGTGGATATATTCTGTTATGTTAGAGTTATTGCCCTTGACTTAGTAGAATTTTTTCAATTTTCAACTTGTGTCTCATGTAGCTCAAAAAATATTTGACCTAGGGTCATGAAACTTTACAGGAATATTGATCAGCATGTATAGTTGTGCACCTGGGGTTTTGCTTGTGAATTTATATGTTTTGCAGTGTCTCTTCTAGGATTTGAAAAATGGGGGGATTTTTATCGAAAAGTGAGAATTTATTACATTTTGATGATCGGGAGGCGTCCAATATTTGTCCGGAGCATATCTCCTTCACCCATGGAGGAATTTTAATGAATCTTCATAGAAATGTACACCACTATGAGAAGCTGTGTCACACGCATAAAACAGGCCTCTAGGTCAAAGATCAAGGTCACACTTAGAGGTCATTGAAAAACACTTGTCCGGAGCAGAACTTCTACATGCATAGAGGGATTTCAATATAACTTGGCACAAATGTTCACTATTTTGAGGCGAAGTGTCATATGCAAAATTCATGTCCCTGCGGCTAAGGTCAAGGTCACACATAGGGATCAAAATTCAGATAAAAATATGAAAATGTGTATTCGGACTATTTAGTCATCATTTATTGAGGGATTCAAACACAAATGGTCATTATTATGACTTTGCATGCATTAACCAGGCCTTTAAGTCAAAGGTCAAGGTCACACTTAGAGGTCATTGAAAAAACACTTGTCTGGAGCAAAAATTCTACATGCATAGAGGGATAACTTGGCACAAATGTTCACTATTGTGAGGTGGAGTGTTGTGCGCAAAATGTATGTCCCTGCGGCCAAGGTCAAGGTCACACATAGGGGTCAAAATTCAGATAAAAATATGAAAATGTGTATTGGGACCATTTAGTCATCATTTATTGAAGGATTGAAACACAAATGGTCATTATCATGACTACTGGTGTGAAACATGTAATTAAGGTTAATATAATTATGCAAGGTCAAGGTCACTAAAGATGATTGTGAAGGTCACTTAAGTTGATAAAATATAGAGATTTTGTCCAGAGCATATCTCCTACTCATATGGAGAGATTGAATGAAACTTCAAGTAAATGTTCACCACTATGAGAAGCTGTGTGCATGAACCAGGTCTCTAGGTCAAAGGTCAAGGTCACACTTAGAGGTAATTGAAAAACGCTTGTCCGGAGCAAAACTTCTACATGCATAGAGGGATTTCAATATAACTTGGCACAAATGTTTACCATTGTGAGGCGGAGTGTTGTGCGCAAAATTTATGTCCCTGCGGCTAAGGTCAAGGTCACACTTGGTCAAATTTCAGATAAAAAAATCACTAGAGATGATAATATATCCAGATATTTTCCAGATATCGCCCAGAGCATATCTCCTATATGCATATCTGTAATGTCCACATCTCTCTCAAAAGCTTCTGTGACGGTTGTATATTGCGACAATGTTGCCCTTGTTTTCAGTTTTGTTAGAGTTATTGCTCTTGACTTAGTACAAATTTGCAATTTTCAACTTGTTCATGCATAGCTCAACCTGTAGGCCTGAAAGTTTACAAGAATGTTGGTCAGCATGTGTACTTATGCACCTTGGGGTTCGCTTGTGAATTTATTCAGTATTTGAAAAGTTCTTACCCTTTACTAAGTTAAATATTTTTAGTTTTCAACTTTTGGCACATGCAGCCCAATTAAAGACATTTGACCTAGTGATAAGATTGACAAAACAGTGGAGTGTGGGGGCACCCGTGTTTTTTAATAAATAGTATAATGGACACATTTCTTGTTCTAACTTAGTTTACAGTAACTGACAAGTGTAATATCCTCAATAACATGGAATAGTTGGGGGAGGTTAATGACTTTTTATTGATATTGTTGATTTTCTGTTTTTAACTGAGAAATTCAAACCTTTTTTACTTACTTTAAAAAAAAAATAATTTTTTTTTTCATTTTTCAGGAGCGAAGGTATTGGACACTATACGAAAAGGTATAATATTAATAGACCTATTCCCAAATAGTACAGCGGCCGAGTTTATGGTGGCCGCACTGTCAGGTAAGAAATAATACAGGATGAAAACTATATTTGACTTTATATTTTTAATAATTATGTTTCCACCAAACCAACTTATTTAACTTATTCTTTTGTGAAAAGTTATTTAATGGTAAAGAAGAAACGTTCACATTCTTAGCCCTTCCAAACTTTTCCAAAACAAGGGTAGCAGAAAATAATGAGTTGTGGATGTATTAGTAATGGTGGTCAGTTTTATTATCATGTTGAATTTTGAACTCCCCACTGATGTAGATTTTCCTTTGCTACCGGTTTACCGGAGGGGACTTTAGGTTTACCCTCCGTCCGTCTGTCTGTCCGTCTGTCTGTGTCTGTCTGTCAGTCCGTCAGTCCGTCCGTCCACAAAACTGGATCCCGCGATAACTTGAAAAGTACTGAAAATATTTTTATGAAACTTGATATATGGATAGATGGCAGTATGGAGATTATGCACGTCTTTTTCTTTTCTTCCTATGTTGAAAATTCTGGTTGCTATGGCAACAAATAGGCTTAAAATATGGCATATTTTACACATAAACTGGATCCAGTGATAACGCAAAAAGTACTGGAAATATTTTTATGAAACTTCACATATGGGTAGATGGCAGTCTGGAGATTATGCACGTCTTTTTCTTTTCTTCCTATGTTGAAAATTCTGGTTGCTATGGCAACAAATAGACTGAAAATATGGCAAATTTTACACATGAACTGAATCCAGTGTTAACGCAAAAAGTAATAGAAATATTTTTATGAACTTTGTAATATGGGTAGATGGCAGTCTGGAGATTATGCACGTCTTTTTCTTTTCTTCCTATGTTGAAAATTCTGGTTGCTATGGCAACACATAGACTGAAAATATGGCAAATTTTACATATACACTGAATCCAGTGATAACCCAAAAAGTACTGGAAATATTTTTATGAAACTTGACATATGGGTAGATGGCAGTCTTGAGATTATGCATGTCTTATCTGTTCTCCCTATTATGAAAAAATATTGGTTGCCTTGGCAACAAATAGGCTTAAAACATGGCAAATATAACATTATTTGTGATTAGTCAAAAAGAGCTGAAATTTTTTTATGAAATTGCATCTTTAATTCAAGAGTAATCTCCTCTTTAAGAATTTTGCTTTTAAAAATGTTATATTTTGGTGACAGGGATGTTTCAAATATTAACTTTAGAGTGCCTTTCAGTCCGTCTGTCTGTCTGTTCATAAAAACTGTTTCCTGTGATCACTTTTAAAGAACTTTTCCAACAAATTTACTTAAAATATAGAAAAATTGAAACATTAGTGAATGGCCCTTCAGAATGTTGATGGAGTTCTAACCGGTAGGGGACTTATGGATTGCTTGCAGTACTATGATAATTGCTTGTTTATCAAGGCTTACATTAGCTTGTGCTTATATTTCTGACCAAGATGCAACAAGGAAGGTTGTTGTAAAGAAATTTGATTGTTTATATAGGATCAGGTATGTGGATATTTGAAATTTGATTGTTTATTTTTATAGGATCATGTATATGGATGTTGGTGGCTTCGCTCCTGAAGCTCCCAGTGTCAGCAACACACAGTCTAGTTGGTGCGACAATAGGGTTCTCCCTTGTGGCTCACAGTGCTAGCGGGGTCAACTGGAAACAGCTTAGCTACATCAGTAAGTTAATAGCTAGTTATTGTAGTGAATTTAAACTAGCCTGCTTACAACAAATGCACCTACCCACGTGACCAGTGAGGACCAAGATCTTGGTTTGAACTGTTTGCTATTCATTCAATTGATAGAGTTCATTTGATATATTTGGCATTGTAAGGTTTGAACATTGATGACTTAGGTAATTTTGAAAATTTTTATCTTGCAAAAGATCAGTTACTACATTAAATAAAATATGTAAACATATTTTTCCATCGACTTACAATCCAAGCATTTTATAGTTTTGTTAATATTTTAACAGTATTGTTGTAAATCTCATTAAAAATTGTTCATAAGTTATGATTTTTCAAGGAAAACCCCACGGTAACACCCAAGTTTGTATATGAATTTTAACATTCAAATGAAGACTTGTATATATAGCTTGTGTATGCGCTATGTCACAATGGTAAATCAATTGTAACCATGTGGAGTACAGCAAATAGGAGATATTCTTGTGCAAACAAACTTTTACCATTTTAGTTTCACAGTACATTATCCCTGTCCTTTACAAAAAAGTCATCAGCTCATAAAAAGATTGAATTTGTATGAAAACATCTGAAATGTAATGCAGAAATATATGGTTAAATTAAGACTGCTTACTTAAAAATGTTTGTTGATTTTCTATTGATGTATGGATGACAAAGGCGGAGTTTCTCATTCAAATAGAAATTACACTTCTGATTTCGCCACAATGAGTTTATAAATTTATGGCTTATAAACTCATTTTTGTTGTCTGGACACCAAAATAAGAACTGGAGTCGATATGAAACATATGTAATAAACAAAATGTAGCTATTTCTTTTTAATGAAATGTATTTAATGTAGCTTTAAAATGCCAAGATATTTCGAAGATATTTTTGTAATTGTTTTAATGTTTTTTTTGAAATTAACAATAAAAGAGATGAAAGGATTTGTTTATATTGAGAGAGATGGGCAAGATGTAATGTAAAGATGATGAGTGCGGTAAGGGGTAATTTCATGTTGTATACATTCTGATGTTTCATGTATTTAGGGTATTATGATGTTATATTATTTTATTGATATATTTTTATCTTTCAGTTGGTTCCTGGTTCGCCTCACCCCTATTATCTGCTGGCATCTCTACACTTCTCTTCTTGTTTATATTTAAAATAGTTCTGAGCAAGGTAGGAACTAGCTTTTAAAATCATAAAAATTTTGAGAAAGAGTAGAAATTATTTCTCTTAGAATTATTGCTGACTGTCAACGATTTTCTTTTTTAAAGGCACATTATGCTTCAGAAATGAAAAAAAAAAAATTTACCCTTCTTTCGAAAGGGAAAACATGAGTTTAAAAATGTTGAAAATAAGGCTTATAGGTTGCAAGATATTTATCAGCTGAATATAGTAGACTGAAGGTGAAATTATTAGTCTCAAAATGTAAACAAAGTAGTATTGTAGTTTTTTGTCTTCCATACAAAATACTAAACCACAGTATATTGAGTGCACTAATTGCCAAAAAATGCAACAGAAGCAAAAAAGATGGTTCAGGTAATTAGCCAATGAGTAAATTTATGTAAAACTTCATGAGGATACAAACAATAAAAATCTTTTGAGGAAATCAAAGTAAAAGCATTTCTGAGGCACAGTGGGCCTTTAACGTTCATTTACATGTTGTCTTTTTCTTTTAATCTTAAAATAATGACCTTGATTGTAAATCACAACTTTTGATAAAAAAAGCTTTCCAGCTAGATTTCGTAAGGTTGATAGTTCTTCTCAAATGTCTGTTTGTGACTAATAATGCCAGAATAAAATGCTCGAAGTCTTTCTTTACCACTAGTTAAGCAGAAAATTCACATGTTTACAGTGTATGATTTAAAATTCAATCAGCCTCGTGATAAAATGAATTTTGTTGTAAAAACTAGTTCATAATTTGTAAAATATTTTAAGAATTGATATACAAAAAATGTAATTATAATGCATATAAAAAGTAAGTCCCCACTTATTTCCGGCATGTTTTATTGCAGGAGAAACCGTTAGAGCCCGGTTTGAAACTTCTTCCAATATTCTACAGTTTTACTATAGCGAGTAATCTGTTCTCTATCTTCTACAAAGGCTCACAGTGTGAGTATTACATAATTACATAAAGCTTTTAAAATTTCTAAACACAAATTGGAAAACAGTTTTGAAGTCTTTTGATGCAGGTTTAATGTACTTCTTGTGAAAATTCAAAAGAGCTAGAGCTTAGATATTTGGCAAGATAAATGTTCTAGTGGATGTTTGCTAAGTTTACCAAATAAATGCCCTAGGGTCAAATTGGTCGCGCCCCAGGGGTCATTGATATTCCTTATATGTATATATAAAAACCTAAAAAATCTTTTTGTGAAAATCAAAAAGAGGTAGAGCTTAGATATTTGGCATGAAACATGTTCTAGTGGATGTCTACCAAGTTTGTTCAAATAAAACCCCTAGGATCAAAATTTACCCCACCCCAGGGGGTCATTTTACTTATATATACATGTATATAGTAAACACTTAAAATATCTTCTTCTGACTATCCAAAAGCACTATAGATTAGATATTTGGCATGAAACATGTTCTAGTGTATGTCTACCAAGTTTGTTCAAATAAATGCCCTAGGGTCAAAATTGGCCCAAGCCTAGGGGTTGTTGATTTGCCTTATATGTATATAGTAAAAACTAAATAAAATCTTCTTGTGAAAATCCAAAAGAGCTAGAGCTTAGACATTTGGTATAAAACATGTTCTTGTAGATGTCTACCAAGTTTGTTCAAATAAATGCCCTAGGGTCAAAATTGGCCCGGCCAAAAGAGGTAGAGCTTAGATATTTGACATGAAACATGTTCTAGTGTATGTCTACCATGTTTGTGGAAATAAAACCCCTAGGGTCAAAATTGGCCCCACCTCAGGGGATCGAGGTCAACAGTTCCTTCTCTTTTTCTGTCATCTTTTTTTTAACTCATCTCTCACTTAGTGACAGGCTGAACTGTTTAATAAAATGGCTGCCAGAGCTAGAATTAGAAAACAACAACATCTTAACAACATCTAAACCACTGGTTCAATTTGGAAATAATTTTACACAAAATTTTCCTTTATGACAGTACACAAAAATTGTTCAGCATGAGCATTTTGTGAAAAATTGCCGTTTTCATTGAAAAGCCTCATGTTACAAGTTCTAACTGCTATGAAACTTTGAAAGATGCTTCAATACTAATCAAACTTGGCACAAATGTTGACTGGACCATTGCCTTTTTAACGACATGCTCAGTCTTGAATTTCCTGTTACAATGGCAGCGAGGGAACATCTCAAAATTGCCAAAAATCACTATTTTGCGTTGATTTTTTCAATCATATTTGATTACTGTGCTGCAACTTTTCAATGGTTTGAGATAGAGTCAAAGGTTTTTCAGCGTTGGTTACACATTACCTTATGATTGTCCTGGGGCCATTTTTATCCTCTCACAAGTCCAAAATTTTCTTGGCGATGAGGGGGACTACCGTCTCCCTTCAAACCCCACCAAACAGAAGGGGGCACATCCCCCTTCTGGCAACCCCCTGATGTACCTTTTTGAGAAAAGGTGGCACCGAAAAAGTGATCTTGTTTCAGCAACAATTCCCAAACGAAAAACAGAGTTTGGGGTCTAAATGGGGTAATTTTTCACTGTTTGGGGTCACAAAAAGGGGAGGGGGTTGAAAAGCTGTCAAAACAGGTCTATATCAGGTTAAAGGTTAAGCTGTCCCATGTTTTCAGGTTGTGCTTCTGGGGTGAAAAGGGGCCCACTTTGAGCTTTTGACCTATTTCTCAGAATGTTCTAATGAAAGCCCTGGGGTCAAAATTGGCCCTTCTAGGAGGTCATTGATTTTTTTTTATACATGTATGTACACATCTTTAGTCCTTAGCAATAGCAACCAATAATGTTTTACACATGTACTATTTCAGTATAAAAATATAAACTTTGTGATATCAGTTTAATATTAAGATTTACATCTACTTTCTTTATAGTTTAAAATATTACTTGTTCCTTGCCATGGAAAGTTTCTATATTCAGGTGAGCGATTTCAGAGCCATCATGGCCCTCTTGTTTACAGTAGGATGCTGTTATGCTGTGTTCACTGCGCCATACTATCACATATTAGATTGCCAAACCTGGTCAGCTACCCGTCTTGTCTTTCAGCAAATAACAAAGATCTCATTATATATAGAATATTTATTTCTAGGTAATGTATATGTTAATTTAATTTACTTTCTACATGTATTTACAATGAATAATATGCTAGAGATAGAATGTTACTAAAAAAGATACAAATGAGTTAAAGAAAACATTTTCTTACTTTTCTTCATTAATTCAAAGAAGAGTGTATTCTGTTGTCCTTGGCAAAACACTGAATTAAGGTTTTTGCTTCTATTTACCTTATTAACCAGGTTTTCCGAAGGAAAAAACTGGTTATTAGATTGAGGTATGTCGGCGGGCGGACGGGCGGGCGGGCGTAAACAATTTCTTCTGTGCGCAACTCCTCCTACATTTCTCAACAGATTTTGACCAAACTTTCGCAGAACTTTTGTCATCAAGTGCCCTGGCGCATATTATCGGGGTTTTGTGATTGGATAATATTTGACCTAATTATGGCCCTTTGTTTTTTTTCCTTATACAGAATATATAGTTAACAATTTCTTCTGTACGCAACTCCTCCTACATTTCTCAACGTATTTTGACCAAACTTTCACAGAACCTTTGTCATCAAGTGCCCTGGCCCATATTGTTGGGGTTTTGTGATTGGATAATGTTTGACCTAAAAATGGCCCTTTGTTTTTTTTCCTTATATAGAATATATATAATGAACAATTTCTTCTGTGCGCAACTCCTACATTTCTTAACGGATTTTTACCAAACTTTCACAGAAGCTTTGTCATCAAGTGCCCTGGGGCATATTGTCAGCGTTTTGTGACTGTATAATATTTGACCTAATTATGGCAGTTTTTTTTTTTTTCCTTATACAGAATATATACATGTAGTGAACAATTTCTTCTGTACGCGACTCCTCCTACATTTCTCAACGGATTTTGTTCAAACTTTCACAGAAGCCTTGTCATCAAGTGCCCTGGCGCATATTGTTGGGGTTTTGTGATTGGATAATTTTTGACCTAATTATGGCCCTTTGTTTTTTTTCCTTATACAGAATATATAGTGAATTCTTCTTCTGTGTGCAATTCCTCCTACATTATTCATGATTTACATTGCACATAGTGTTACAATTTGTTGCTTGTATTTGTATTTCAACTACAACATATTTATCTACAATGGTGATAATTGAAAACCTGGTTTCATGGCATTGCCATGTTTCTTGTTAATCTCTGTTTTATTGATTGAGTTCAATCATGTTTTATTTCTTGTTTTTACAGGTTACAAATTAGTATTAGATACCTACATGACATATTCCACATGGTGTATAAAAGGCCAATAGGTAAAGGTAATCTATGAAATAGTTTGAGTACCTTAAAGGAACTCCACTGAGGTCTAAAAGCCTGTAAACTTAAAATTGGCGTTTCTTATGTAGATCAGCTGGGGCACTTAAAACAAAAAGATAAAAAGCTTAAGATAAATAAGAATTATACTCAGAAATAAATTGATAACTATATTTACATTGTATGTGCTACTCTTAGCCTGATTTGAGAGTTTTGAGACGTTTCTGACGATCAGAATAATTATTTTGGAAAAACGGAATGAGCGAATGATCTAGAATATTGCACACACATTATTTGTCTCAACCTATATCAAATGGAACATTAATTTGAAAGAATTAAATCCAGTTACGATCTGTCAAAATACTGCAGTGGAGTCCCTTTAATGTAACATTGCTCTTATATTAAAAGTGACTAATACTTCATAGATGAATAGAGATATATGAGCCGCGTCCGCGCAGTCTGATCAGGATCCATGCTGTTCGCTATCAGTTTCTCTACTTGTAATAGGGTTGGTAAGCGAACAGCATGGATCCTGTTGGTTTTGTCATGGCGCGGCTCATATGTGCAAGCTGTCAACCAATTCCTATATTCCTATAAAACTCCTATATTTTGGGTCGGAATCCTATATTTTAAAAAACCTCCTATTTTTCCTATATTCTCCTATATTTTGAATATTTTTCCTATATTTTTTTAAAAATATATTGCCGAGGAATTCAAAGAGATTTAAATTTTGGTACTGTTTTTGGCATTTTGTATTTTACAGGTAAGAGAATGTGTATGCCTGCATCAGCATCACATTACTATGCTGAAGGGTGCTGTGCTCCACATAGCCATCTGCATGGTCACCATGAAAAGCAGTGCACCAGTATGTCAACTTTATTTCAGGTGACCATTTAGATGATGGTCATGCATTGCTGTAACTTTCTGCTGATGCTGTGGTTCAAAGCTAATGCAGGCTGTCCAGCATCTCTAAAATTCCTAAAAAAGTGAAAAATTTGAAGGGAATTCCTAAAAATGCCCTATTTTTTTCACTGAAATTCCTAATTATTTTTATCTTTTGTTATAAACATACTTATAACTTGTAACCCTGTAAACATAACTCAAAGTCGACCATGTTTTGAACATGGTCAAAAATGATTTGGCCATGATTTGCCAACTCAAAATTGATGACATTGAAATGGTTTTGTTTCAACTAAAAGTTGCTTTGACTATGTTCGTAACATTTCTATTTCATAATCAAAGCAGTTGTTTATAATCATGTTGACAGTTAACAGCAAAAACACTACCATATCATTGTCCTGAAACTCAAGAGTCCACTTATTCTGGAATATTTTGACACTGTTTTGCCAACTACAGATATCTTGAATTTTATGTTTGTTCATTTTATCCAAATTTCTGAAGTGGTCCATTTATATCATATCATATTTGAAAATGATCATTATGAAGCTGTTGTAACACAATCTTAATTAAAAACATGTATAAATAGTTGTCAAAAATTAATGTACAATTTGTTTACTCACAACTTTTTTATTTGAATCTGCATAATATCAAAACAACATTGTAAAGTACTGAATGGGTTAACATAGACTTTGAAAAATTAATTCTTTCCCTCATAATTATTTATCCTTTTCATGTCTTTGTAGGAGAAATTGCTTATTTTGCCACAAAGTTATCAATTTCATTCAGTTCTTGTTCTTTCATTTTTATTGTGCAATTTAGGAAAAGGCAGACTCATATAATTAATCACACTCAAAATAATTTGGCAGTTCACTATTATATAGCTCATTTCCAGTTAACATGTACACTCATTTTGCAATTATGTGATCTAGATAAACTGCAATTGAATGGTCTGTGTGATGAACTTTTTTGATGTGCATTTCTTTGTGTTGATTATAGATGCTTCCCATTTATTCAAATGACTGTAGTAAGGCAAATGCCTTTTTACTTTTTACCTACTTTTACAAAAAAATTCATTTGTCCATAATAATTGTTAAAAAGCTGCATTGTGCAAGAATTTCACTGTATGAGAATTCCTTTCAGACACTTGTGGTTATAACATTCCCAAAACATAGGTAGAACATGTTCTTTTTGACATGTTCAGCCATTTAAAAAAATATGGTTTGAACAGGATTTGACTATGACCATTTCCGCAGGGAGGCAGTTGACCAGTAAGTCCACACTGGTAGCACCTTTGCTCTATTACTAAACTAGAGCATTATTTGTGAGTTACTTTTGTGTCATATATGCAAAGGTTTGCCCACATCATGGTCTTTTGGGACCTTCGTTTATTTAGTCATAAAATTGCAAATTTTAGCCCTAAAATTTCTATTACGTACCCTAAAATTCCTAATTTTAGCCCTTAAATTTCTGAAATATTACCGTAAAATTCGCCCTAATTTTATGTCGGAAGGTGCTGGACAGCCTGCTAATGGTTTCCTTCACTTATACGGTAGACATTTTATTGTAGAAACAGCTTGTGTAAAAGTAAAAATAATTTACATTTATATAAGCATTGGTAAGTTGAACAATTTAAGTTGAAAACTCCTATTTTTTTGCCTCAAAATGGTCCAAAAACTCCTATATTTCCTGCTAAAATATTCTTATATTTCTCCTTTATTTTGGATAAGACCTGGTTGACAGCCTGTATGTGGTTTCAATGGTCAGCTAGCTTACAGAAGGTTGGCGGTTGTACACAACCATATGACCTTTATATTGTTGGTGCAGCGTAAGCCCACTGAACCCACTGAACAATAACAACAACAATAAACTTCATTGATACAATGTATATGATATTTGACAATTAGATATCCCATTTTTATTAGCTCGACTATACAAAGTATATGGAGAGCTATCCTACTTGCCCCGGCGTCGGCGTCCCCGTCCAGATTTCAGATTAAAGTTTTGGTGCAGTAAAATATTTTTCATATAACTTTTTTATTTCTTAAGGTATCAAATTCAAATATATGTTTCTTAACATGAACCACATCTCATGTGACAAGGTTCATAACTCTAGCACCAACATTTTCAGATTTATCTCCCCTTGAACTTAGAATTTTCCTCAAAAAATATTATTTTTTTGCTATAACTCTTTCATTTCTTAAGGTATCCTCTTCAAACTTCAAATATATGTCCCTTATCATCAACCAGATCTTATGTGACAAGGCTCATAACTCTAGCAATATTTTCAGATTTATATCCCCTTGAACTTAGAATTTTCCTTAAAAAATATTATTTTTTGCTAGAACTTTTTCATTTCTTAAGGTATCCTCTTCAAACTTCAAATGTTCAAATATATGTTCTTTATTATCAACTAGATCTTATGTAATAAGATTCATAACTCTAGCACCAATATTGCAAGAATTATCTCCCCATTAACTTAGATTTTTTTTTACTTGGAAAATGCATTTTTTTTACTATAACTTCTTTAGTTTTAAAGGTATCTACCTCAAACTTCAAATACACATTCCTTATCATCAACCACATCTTATGTGGCAAGGTTCATAACTCTTGAAGAAATATTTTCATGTTTATCTCCCTTTGAACTTTGAAATTTCTTTAAGAAATATTGTAACTTTTTTACTTTTTAAGGTATTTTCTACAAACTTCAAATATATAAATTTCTTATCATTACACACATGTTGTGTGACAAGGTCCATAACTCTAGTGTAACTATTTCCATAGTTATTCCCCCTTGAATTTATGCTAGCAACTATAACTTCTTGTCATAAGAAGAAATATATTTATTTGTCTTTCATAGAATTGTCTTCCTTAACTGTGTCAAGTATTTAGTAAGTCGAGCTTCGCTGTCTTCTATGACAGCTCTTGTACGTTATTATGATAAGTGAATTGTGATTTTTATGCCCCCACAAAGCGTGAGCATATAGCGTTGCACTTGTCCGTCCGTCCGTACGTCCCGAAATCTTGTGAACGCAACTCCTCTTAAACCAGATGGCAGATTTTGCTTAAACTTCCAGGGATGAACAACCTTAATGTGTAGATGGTAGTAAAGGAAGGAATTTTTGCTGCGACCAAATTTAACAGAATTATGGCAATTTGTTGATTTTTTCACTATATACTATGTAGATATTTTGTGAACGCAACTCCTCTTAAGCCAGATGGCAGATTTTGCTTAAACTTCCAGGGATGAACAACCTTAATGTGTAGATGGCAGTAAAGGAAGGAATTTTCGCTGCGACCAAATTTAACAGAATTATGGCCCTTTGTTAATTTTTTCACTATATACCATTTAGAAATTTTGTGAACGCAACTCCTCTTAAACTGGATGGCAGATTTTGCTTAAACTTCCAGGGATGAACAACCTTAATGTGTAGATTGTAGTAAAGGAAGGAAATTTTGCTGCGACCAAATTTAACAGAATTATGGTCTTTTGTTGATTTTTTCACTATATACCATATATATGTTGTCAGTGGGGGCATCCGTGTCCTTTGGACACAGTTCTGGTTTTTTCAATTTTGTCGATATTCCTACCTTTTCTAAAGTGAGGAAAAATATACTAGAAATATTTTAAGATTTTTCTTGACAGAGAAGAAATTATAAAGCAAATTACCTCCCTTTAGTTAGTTTTAAGTCTGCACATGTCTATGAATCGTTTACAACACTTATAATATTTTTTTGTCAAATAAAGTTACTTAGAAATAAATGTCAAAATTCATTTTGCAGGTATTCCAATAAGATGGGTGAAAGTTGTATTGAACTGCATACAGTGTGGTATCACAATGCGTAAAGATCATAAGGTATCATGAAACTAAATTCTTATTTAGTTTATTTTAAAGTTTTATTGAATAAATACAGGACTTAACTTTTTTTTTTATAAATACATTCTGTTGTAACAACTCTTTTCTTTTATTTAGTGTTTCTTTGAATTAGTGTTATAAACGTACACTGAACAAAAGTTCTAACCGATCACCCTGAGTTTTCGTTTATATATGAAAAAGAATAATACCAATAGATCCGACTTTTATTTTATTCCGAAGAGAATGAACACATTGAGAATAATAAAAGTATAACATTTTCTATTTAAATAATACTTTATCGATATTTTAAAGAAAATATTTTTATGAACAGCCACTCACCTGTCTGAAAGAGGCTCCAGCATTCAACATTCCAACTGCTACGGCACGATCCTGCATAGACATTCGTGCCATGTTTTATGTTTTTTCACTTATAAAGTTAACAAGGATTTATGCAATGTAAAATTTAATACTCACCACGCTCTGCACGAACATTTCGTGCCAAAATGTGTAAACCGTGCCCTGTCTCCCGCGTGAGTGCATGGAACCGTATTAAATTATTTTTCTTTCCACAAATCGGTAGAAAATGACACAAAAATCACCTCTGCAAAATTTTATAAGGATCTATTGACCCATTATAAAATAATCAAAATTTAAAAAGTGATCGGTTAGAACTTTTGTTAAGTGTATATTGCTTAGATTGCTCATGCTGTTGGGCCTTTTCCAAGCCATTTTGGGAAAAATTACTATGCTCAGTTCGGGAAATATTGCGTCGTAAAATTGCTTAATTGGGAAAAAATTTGGGACCTTTTGAAACCTTCTTCATACCCTTTTGTACTTTGAATTGTAGAAAATTGTTTATTGCAACCAATGCAAATATCATTAAAAGCATAATTTTAAATACATTAAAATTTGACAATAAAATGTGTGGAAAAATCTGTCTGATACCATATACTGGAACAAATTTAACTCTAGAACATATGTCAGTTTTGATATCAGGAATTTTATTTCATTTGGGAATATTTTTTTTTAAGATTGTGAAAAAATAAACATGTATGCTATTGGGAATGGGTTTGGTAATCTGACCTTTGGTGACACTGGGAAAATGCATGACTCACCTTGAATCTTATGATGTAAATAATTCTAATATCATGTTTTCTATTACAGAGATGGTTCACTTGTCTGGTCATTGCAATGCTATTTTCACACACAGTTGCAAAGCCCATCAGTGATACAAATCGTGGAGACAAAATTCACATCTTTCCCAAGCTGACATCACTGTGGTCGTTTAAGAATCCAGAGACGGAATATACCTGTCCAAATGTAGATAGCAACTTTAACTTAACAATAAAAGCAAGGCAATACAAGTGCCGTGATTGGGAAGACATCATATGCATGGACAGTGTATCTGTAGGACGTGTATTTTTCTGCATTCCAAAATCAACAAGTTGCTCAATAGGTAATTCTTTTTTTTCTTTGTTTTGCTGACATCTATTATGATTAACAATAGTATTATATATCGCCAGAAATGATAAATTTGATCATTTACAGAATTTGCTTTTTAGAAACTAGTGCATTTTCATCAAAACTTTACAGGAATAATCAATTCTATGTCTAGTTGTGCATCTCATCAACTTTTTTTTTATTAGAGTAATGTCCCTTTAATGATTTTAATTTTTAAGATTTGTTCAGACTACTCATCTTTTACCACTGATGCAATTTTAATGAAACTTTACAGGATTGATTGGTAGCTCAAATACTTGTACATACTACACAGATTTTCCGTTTGAAGGATTTTCAGCCGAGTTATGGGCCTTGAATAAAAAAATGTGTGACCTGTTAATGATTTTTGGGTCTGCTGGTACACAGTAGCATGTGATTGGCTATCATGAGGTAACACATATCATCACTGATTGCCCTTGTTTTGATGATAGCACCAAAGGCGAAGCAAGTCGATTTGTTACATTGTACAATAGAACAATGAAAGGGTCAAAGATTGTGAAAACTGTTTCAATTTTGATTCATTGTTTGTCTTATTAATGTGACTGTATTTATTTTAGTTCAGTTTTTGGCTGGGTTGCACAAGTGCAAATCCAGGTTATGAAATGGTGAATGTTCGTAACAGTTTTCTCAGCAACTACTTTTCACAGCCTCTTGATATTTTGTATAAAGCATTAACACTTGGTTCCATACAGTGGGAAACGATTTCAGGTCTGTCGCTCATCCACTTCCTGTTTTCTGACTTAGTTAATTTTTTGACATTAATGGTGAATGGTAGGTAATTTTCATAATATCACAGCCTTGTGATATTTGGTATACAAATGCAACCTGGCCATTTCTGTCTTATAAATGAAAATGATTGTATATTATTGCAGGAATAGGTTGGACTGTGGAAGCTGTTGATGGTCAAGATGTTTCTGTGAAGGAGAGCTTTTGTCAGGTAGATTACTACCAGAGTGAACCGTCGCGATGCTACGATGCTTGTAAGACCAAACATGAGCGACTGGATTTAATTCCCCCTAAGTACCTGTTACACAGCAAGGGAGATAACAAAGGTCCAGCCATCTTGACGTGTAACGCTGCTGATGGTTTTTACAATCGAGACAATATAACATGTGTTGCATTTGATTCCAATTTGCCAGCTGATTTCTGCACAAATGTGAACATTGTGAATCCATGTGCCAAGGGTTATATGCCCTTGAATAGTAAGTTTTCACTGCATGTTTGTAATATCAATTTTCATGGGATAATCATGATGTTTATATTTTGTTATTAACTTACTACATGACTGCTATAAGCTTATGAAGTAATTTTAATTTATCATAAATTTGTAAAGAAGACTTTTGACAGGTTATATGGCTGTGTTCAAGGTTACTTATTATATAACCTCAAAGCAGTTTGGATTACATAAGCTACAGAGCTATATAAATAGTCATTATATTTCTATAACTTCAAAGATAATTTTATTGTACTAAGCTTTATCTCAGCTTTACTGCCTGTGTCATTTGAAGTAATATGTTCACATTCCAAATTAATTTCTTAAAGCGCACATGATTCTGTGGTAAAGACAGCTTAATTTGAATCATATAAAAACACCTTTCAATGATTTGGCATTTAATTGAAACCTGCCATAGTCTTCAGATTCTTAACTTTAGTGTGATGAAGCTATCCAGCTAGTTAAAGGAAGTTAAATTGTTCTACTCAAGTGCTTGTTCATGCTTGAAATAATACACACTGAGGCTATGTGTTTAGCATGCTTGACTTTTAAGTTGATTTTACTCTTTTGTTATAAGTATGCCAAGTTTAGATTTAACTGATATTTATTTGAGCTTGATTGTGAATAAAGTTCTTGCAACTTATATAAATCACATTTCAGTCAACTAACCAGTACTGATGTCATATGAGGAATCATGATTGTGGCCCAAGTAGGGTTTGAACCCATGATTCCTTGATTGAGAGGCAGACACCTTAACCAATAGGCCACCTCTCCCCCTGTTTCCATGTTAGCACATTATGTTAAATAAAATTTGGTAAAAATTATATACATACCTCGGACCTGTCATCATTCATATCCTTAAAGGTTTCTATCTGTAGTCTATTAGAGAGTTTGTCACTCTATTAGATATTGGATAGGATTTAAGAATTTCTTTGCTCATAGATTTTATTTTTCATTCCTAGATGGGACTTGTTTAGACATACGCAGCCAAGCCTATCAGGAGTTGGTAACAAGTTCAAAGTGCAAAGCATTGTAAGTTCTCTCGTTAAAATTCCTTGCTATTTTGGAATTAATGTTTATGTCACTTAAAGCTGCACGCCTCCAGATGAGCGAAAATATTTATGATAGAAATTTAAAATTTAAACTCTTTGGTGGATTTTATACCACTAACCTTCCATTCTGCTTAGTGCTAGTGTCCTAAATATCGTAACACTCTGCTGGTTTCGTAAGTGAATTCTGAACCACTAGCTTTTCACTCTGTTAATGTCTTTCAGAGAATTCCCCTGGCAAAAAAAAAGAACAAAAATAACAACAACGAAAAACCCCCCCCCAAAACCCCCCCCCCCCCAAAAAAAAAACCACTAGCCATGCACTTAGCTAGTGCCTTTAGTGAATTTTAAACCACTAGCCTTACACTCTGCAAGTGTCCCTGAGAAAATTAAAATAACAACTCCATTTGGTAACCATACACTTTGCTCTCAGTTATTTCAATCACTGCTCTTGCACTATGCTAATGTCCCTTAGAGAATTTTAATGCCCCAACTTAAAGGATGGGGGTGGGGGCAACATATAAATTAACCATTTTCTTGCTGTCATTCTTTCCGTCCGTAGATTGACAAAAAGCGATTTTGATAAAAATTGGCACAAGTGTTAAGCATGATGAGACAGTGTGTCATGCGCAGCACCTAGACCCCCAGCGCCAAGATCCAAGGTTATACTTAGAGGTAAAAGGTCAGCAGTTAGAAAATCTCAGTCATGCATTAAGGGATTTAATAGTCAGTAAGCAGAAGTGTTTAGCATAACGAGTCTTTGTTAGCCTATCAATTTAGATAATCAATGCTCTTTATATTTGTTAACTATGTAAACACTTGAGAAATTTGTGCTTTGTCACTGTAAAGTTAAGGCCTTGTAAATATTAAACTGTTTTATCAAACAACCATCTTTCCTTTTACATTAAAAAATCTTCTTAAACGGTCTGTTATTGCAAAAAAGTTTATGAAATACCAACTATGCTGTCCTGTCATAACATCTTTATTTGTATGTTTTGGTGTCCTAAAATATAAAGTTGGGATATCCTGTGTCCTTCAGATACATTTCTAGTTTACTTTAAGTAACAGTTACTAAACTTGTCCTTCAGAAAATTTGTTGTTAATTTGGGCTCATGAGAGTTTCAATATTTTGCCATACAGTTTTATTTCTGGTATTCTAGAGAATCATATTGATGTATATTTCAGGTCCGGCAAGGATAGAGACTCAGAGAACAAAGATGTTCCAGCAACATTGAAACCTGTGGACCAAGGTGGAGTATCTACAAGGAAAAGAAATAACGGTAAAACAACAGTGCATAGCGATTTATTTGTTTGATTGGGTTTTATGTCACATCGACACAGTATAGGTCATATGGCGACGTTCCAGCTTTAAAGGTGGAGGAAGACCTCAGGTGCCGTTCCGTGCATTCTTTTAGGCACGAACAGGCACCTGGATAGCTTACTCACATAAAGAATCCAAAGTCCATGTTGGGATTCGAACCCACAACCATGAGGGGCAAGTGGTTTGAAGTCAACGACCTTAACCACTTGGCCACCGTTGCCCCCATAGGGATTTAATTTACCATAGGTCTTTTTTGAAAAGAAAAAGAAAAAAGTTTAAAAGTCAAAATTTGGCAGAGATGGAATCGGGAGGGGGATATAGTTTTGACGTTGTCTGTCCTTCCGTCCGTCCGTCCGTCCATCTGTCCGTCCGAATTTCGTTTCCGGAGTAGTTCTCTGCAACTACTGGCTGGAATTCAACGAAACTTTATGGGAATCATCAATATCAAGAGAAGATGCGCATATCGTCAGCTTGTTGCGGTCAGACCTTTTAACTCAGAGTTATGGCCCTTGATAAGTTATGCAGTATGCATATGGAGTAAAAATCGTTTCCGCGCTACTTCTCTGCAACTACTGCCTAGAATTCAACGAAACTTTATGGGAACCTTCAATACTAAGAGGAGATGCGCATATTGTCGGCTTGTTCCGGTCAGACACTTAAACTCAGAGTTATGGCCCTTGATTAGTTATGCAGTAATAACGATTTTTACTCCATATGCATACTGTAGTATGCATATGGAGTAAAAATCGTTTCCGCACTACTTCTCTGCAACTACTGCCTAGAATTCAACGAAACTTTATGGGAACCTTCAATACCAAGAGGAGATGCGCATATCATCGGCTTGTTCCAGTCAGACACTTGAACTCAGATTTATGGCCCTTGATTAGTTATGCAGTATGCATATGGAGTAAAAATCGTTTCCGCTCTACTTCTCTGCAACTACTGGCTGGAATTCAATGAAACTTTATGGGAACCTTCAATACCAAGAGGAGATGCGCATATCGTCGGCTTGTTCCGGTCAGACACTTTAACTCAGAGTTATGGCCCTTGATTAGTTATGCAGTATGCATATAGAGTAAAAATCGTTTCCGCGCTACTTCTCTGCAACTACTGGCTGGAATTCAACGAAAATTTATGGGAATCTTCAATACCAAGAGAATATGCGCATATTGTTGCCTTGTTCCGGTCAGACACTTTAACACAGAGTTATGGCCCTTGATTAGTTATGCAGTATCCATATAGAAAAATATTTGTTTCCTCACTTCTTCTCTGCAACTACTGGCTGGAATTCAATAAAACTTTATTGGAACCTTCAATACCAAGAGGAGATGCGCATATTGTCACCTTGTTCGGGTGAGACATTTTAACTTAGAGTTATGACCCTTGATAACTTAGGCAGTATACAACCAGAGCAATAATCGTTTCCGTGCTACTTCTCTGTAACTACTGGCTGGAATTCAATGAAACTTTATGGGATACTAAGAGGAGATGTGCATATAGTCGCCTTGTTCCGGTCAGATACTTATAATTCAGATTTATGGCCCTTTATTAGTTATGTGGTATGCATACATCTCATTGGCATTTCCAGATATTACTATTTAACACAAAGTTATGGCTCTGTTATTGCCCTGAATATTTATCAAGTTCAAAGAATATTACTGTTTATGCCATGATTAATATATAAATAAAGCCTTATGTCTTCAGTTGTTGTGTTAATAATAACCAGTACTCGGCGGGGGATATAAATTCAACGAATTTGCTTGTTTACACATTATTTACAATTAATGACTGATTTTGCAGTATCTATCAACATATTTCTACAGTGTGATTATCAGTTGTTACACAGTTAGGGCTGTTTTTGCATATTTCAAGAAATTTACATAGGTTTTAATTTAAGTGCCATTTGCAGTGTGTAAATTACTTTTTTGTTCACTTGACAATATTTTATTTATTAAAACATTTGAAAAATGTTCATGAAAATTAACATTAATCTGGAGGCATGCTATTTTGATCTAGAAGATATTGATTGCATAAAATTTAATTTCAAACTGTGTTGTCCTTTCCTATACTAAGTTTTAAAATTTAACTTATTGAAATGCCTGCCTTCTGTTCAATAGATTTTTTATAATCTAAACCTCGATGCTGTGATATGTTTCTGTGATAATACACAGAATGAAAAGTCATACTGGCGGGATATTTTAAATGTTTCTTCTTTTCAAATACAGATGACATGGAAGATACAAGTGGAGAGATAAATGACGCGGATGATACAAATGAAGAAGTAAATGATGTTGCCGAGAAAAATCCATAGGGGTGGAATAAAAATGACAGGTATGTAGACAAGTCCATGATCAGAATTTGTTCAATCTTTATCCTGCAAAATATTTTTAAGTGACTTGCCCTGTTTGAATATTGAGCTTTCTATAGATAAAGTGACATTATGCAAATGTTTTAGCTCAACTTTTTCGAGGAAAAAAAATGGAGGTATTCGGGAGTGGGCCATTGTACACTTATTAAGAATCATCAACATCCATTTGTCTGTTCTCTTTGAAGTCTAGGTGGACATTTGTACAATTGTTAAAAATCTGCATCGAGATTTATGTTGATGTTTTAATAATGTAATTGTGCCCCACTTTAGGGAGGGGCTGGGGGCATAGATTTACCTTGTCCGTCTGTCCTTTGTACGTTCTCATGTTGTGTCACACGTAGCTCAAAAGTATTTGACCTAGAGTCATGAAACTTTACAGGAATGTTGCTCTGCATGTGTATTGTGCACCTGTATATTTTTGTGTTCCTTAGATTTATTCAGTATTTGAAGAGTTATTGCCCTTGACTGAGTAAAAATTTGCAATTTAGGTCATGAAACGTTACAGGAATATTGATAAGCATGTGTAGTTTTGCATCTGGGTATTTTTGTGTTATTCATTTAGTATTTGTAGAGTTATTGCCCTTGAATTTGTAAAAATTTGCAATTTTCAACTGTGTCACACTAAGCTCAAAAGTGTTTAACCTAGAGTCATGAAACTTAACAGGGATATTGGTCAGCATGTGTAGTTGTGCACCTTGGGTTTTGCTTGTGGGTTTATCCAGTATTTCTAGAGTTATTGTCCTTGACCGTTCCATTATGATGTGTTATTTGTTCCTTGAGTGCTTTAGTTAGAATCAACCAATTTACAGGAATAATGATTAACATCACTGTTAATCTATGCACCTAGGGTTTTGCATGTTGATTTTTTTCAGTTTTGTTAAGAGTTATTGCCCTGGACTTAGCATCAATTTGCAATTTTCAACTTGTTCATGCATAGCATAGCACCAAAAAGTATTTGACCTGTCGGCCTGAAAGTTAACAAGAATGTTGGTTAGCATGTGTACTTATGTACCTTGGTGTTTGCTTGTGGATTTATTCAGTATTTGTAAAGTTTTTGGCCTTAACTTAGTAAAAGAATTTATTAGTTTAGCCCAAAAAATATTGACCTAGAGTCATAAGATTGACTAAACACTAATGTGTTGGGGCACCCGTGTCCTTTGGACACATTTCTAGTTTTTTCCTTAATTTCAATGTACACAGAAACAAAAAAGTATTTGACAAACTGAATTTTGGATTACAAATAGCCTTTTGTTTATAGTATCATTATGTTGAATTTGTCAAATCATGATTGATATAAAAAAGCTTTGAAATATACTATGCTCATCCTTGAGTAATAAGTAAGTAAGTAAGTAAGTAACGACTTTATTTAATGAGGCTAGCACATTCGGTTTCCCGATCTTCCATGTGGGCCTCAGCATATACATGATTATCTGTTTCTACACCTTGAATATATGCAAACATTTTAATCACAGAAATTTATTGAAATCTTTGAAATTCTTACTGAAGAAATGTCTAATTTGAATGAGAGAATGAATAAAATATGTAAAGGAAGTTGCAGGTCAAGAAAAGTTGTTCTTTTCTTAAAAAAGGAAAAAAATGCCATGACACTATCTATTTATATTGGGACCTCCTGTAGTGTGTAGAATTTTAAACACAAAACATATCTACTTTGTTTGAAGTCAAAACATGTTTTTTTTATGTTACAAAGAGACTGTGTAGCATTTATCAATATATTCTGATATCAAATTTGAGCATAGTATGTCTTTAACTTTATAATACTCTATTATATTTATAATACTATAGAAATAGCAACAACAAAAATCATGTAAAAATGTATTAGATGTAATGTTCACAATTGAAAAAAATGTACAACTTTCTTTTCTTTTTCTTTCAGTTGTGAAAGTAGTTGTCATGACAGTAGGACTGTCTGTTATTGGCCTTGTTCTGGTTGTAGTAGTTATAAATAATGGTTAGTCTGATTAAAATTTTTTATGCTTTATTAATTCACAAGGGTACTAAAACTATTTAAAACAATAGAAACCTTTATGCTTTTTAGCTCATCTGTCACAAAGTGACAGGGTGAGCTTTTGTGATCGCTTTTCGTCCGGCGTCAGTCCGTCCGTCCGAGCCAACATTTGATTATTATGAGCTTCATTCCGTAGTTAAATAAAGAACATAAACTCATAAAATTCCGTCGTCCGTCCGTCGTCCATAAACTTTTACTTTAAATGACATCTCCTCATAAACCGCTGAGCCAATTTCATCCAAACTTCACAGGAATGTTCCTTTGGTGGTCACCTTTAAAAATTGTTCAAAAAATTTAATTCCATGCAGAACTCTGGTTGCCATGGCAACCAATAGAAAAAACTTAAAAAAACCCAAAGAGGTAGAGCTTAGATATTTGGCATGAAACATCTTCTAGTGAGTGTCTATCAAGTTTGTTCAAATAAAGGCCCTGGGGTCAAAATTGGCCCCGCCCAGGGGGTCATTGTTTTTCCCCATATGCATATAGTAAAAACTTAA